TGGATCATGTGTTTTTATCCATTCTGGCAATCTTTATCTTTTGACGGAAGAGTTTAATCAATGTATATTTAAAATAGCTACTGATAAGGAGGAATTATTTCTGTCATTGTGATGATATTTATTTTCTATTTGCCCTATAGTTTTGTTTTGGGTTTTTTTTGTGGGGGGCTGTCATTTCCTGCATTCCTACCTTCTTTTGTGTTGACTTTTCTGTAGTAAATTGCTTAAATTGATTCTTAATTTCTTTTTGTATATATTCTATAGCTATTTTCTTTGTGGTTACCATGGGAATTACATTTAACATCCTAAAGTTATAACAATCTAATTTGAATTTATAGCAGCTTAACTTCAATAATATACAAAATATTTGCCCCTCTGTAGCTTCATTCTGCCCCTTTCAATGTTGATGTCACAAAATTACATCTTTATACATTGTGTGTCCAAAACAAAAACTAATAATTCTTTTAAAAGCATTGGTTTGGAGTTACAAACCAGTGTTTCAGTAATACTAGTTTTAACACTAATTTTTTCCCATTAAATGTACTAATCTCTTGAATCATGTAGAATGCAAAAAGTGTAATTACAAACCATTGTTACAATAATACTAGCTTTAAAAATTGCCCATGTATTTACCTTTATTGTGATCTTTATTTCTCCATACAGCTCTGAGGTACTGCTGAGTGTTCTTTCATTTCACTTTGGAGGACTCCCTTGAGCATTTCTTGCAAAACAGGTCTAGTGGCTACACCCTCAGCTTTTGATTATCTGGGAAAGTCTTTATTTCTCCCTCACTTTTGAAGAGCAGTCTTGCTGGATATAAGATTCTTGGTTGATGGGGTTTTTTCTTTAGCACTTTGAATATATCTGCCCACTGTCTTCTGGCCTCTAAAGTCTCTGATGAGAAATCTGAACATAATATTATTGAAGATCCCTTGTATTATGTAATGATTTGCTTCTCTCTAGCTGCTTTCAAGATTCATTCTTTGTCTTTGTCTTTTGAAAGTTTGATTATGTGTCTCAGTGTGGGTCTCTTTGAGTTCATCTTATTTGGAGTTCACTGAGCTTCTTGGATATTTATATTCATGCCTTTCATCAGATTTGGTAAGTTTTCAGCCATTATTTCTTCAACGTTCTCTCTGTGCCTTTCTCTCTCTCTCCTCCTTCTAGGACTTCAATGATGAGTAGGTTGGTATGTTTTATGATGTCTCACAGTTCCCTTAGGCTCCATTTCTTTTCTTCAATTTTTCTTTCTGTTCTTCAGCCTGGATACTTTCCACTCTCTTATTTTCTAGTTCACTGATTATTTCTTTTGCCTGCTCAAATGCCTTTGAATCCCTCTAGTGAAATTTTCATTTCAGTTATTGTACTTTTCAGCTCCAGAATTTCTTTTTTATTTATTTTTAGGCTTTCTATCTCTTTATTTATACTTCTATTTTGTTTACACCTCATTTTCTTGACTTCCTCCACATCTTCATATAGCTCTTTGAGCATCTTAGGACAGTTGTTTTAAAGTCTTTGTTTAATATATATTCCATTAGGTCTATTTCATGGACAGACTCTTGAATTATATTTTTTTCCTTTGAATTGGCCATACTTTCCTGATTCTTTGTATGCCTTGTGTGAGTTTTTGTTGAATGAACACTGGACATTTGAATGTAATAATTTGGTAACTCTGGAAATCAGATTCTCACCATTCCTCAGGGTTTGATGTTTTGATCATTTTTTCAAAATAAAAATAATGTCTTCTTAGGTCTTTTCTGAGCCCTTCTTTGAGCACATTTAGTCGCTTTCTAATTTCCCCCATATATGTAGTTGTTTTTTTAATGTCCTATTCATTAATGTCGGACTACCAAAAGGGGAAAAGCAAAAAATTAAGGCAGGAGAAAAGGGTATTGGCCTTTAAATTTCCTAGAAGGCTGTTCAGCTAGAGGAGAGAAGCTTGCAGTGAGGTGGGGGGGGGGGTATGTGAGGGGAGGTGCAGCAACAATGGCTGCCTGCCTTTTTCCATGCACCTCTGTGATCAGAAGAAGCAATCAGTGACCAGAACACAGATCCCCAATATTTGGGGAACAGGGTCCTTTTTGTCTACCCTGGCTCCTGCAAGCTGTGTGCAAGCTGTTCAATGCCTGCCATGTGGCTAGAGGTGGGGATGTGTAGCTACTACTGTCAGCTAAAAGCTGAAATTGACTAAAATTAACCAAAATTTACCATCCAAGACTTCCCCAGAAGTTGTAAGTCTTCAACAGACTCCAGAGTTCCAAATTAGTTATATCAGACAGAATCTGCCAGTGTCATTGTTGTCTAGGTGGGAGACAGATTTCTGGTGCTTCCTACTCTATTATCTTCCCAGAATCCTTGTCTAGAGTTAATTTTATCTCATTACCAGAAGAGCCTTTTTAGTACTCTAGCTGATGACTTTTGAATGATGTGATTTTCCAATCTGTTGGGACAAGCACTACTTCTGGCCTCAAGTGAACTTCAGGCACTGTATCCTTTCATCCTTCCCAATGGATTTTTCCTCTGCCTCAGGTAGCTTGCTCACATGTATTCACTAATTGATTCTCAGCTGAATATTTATGGAGGAGTCTCTGCAGATCTCTGGAGTCCTCTCTCTGTACATCACTCCTCTTTCCAGTACTCCGCCTTGTGAATTCTAGCCCTCTTGACCAACCCAGATTCCCAGTTTCATCCCCTCAATTTAGGGAGGCTGCCAGGCTCTGTGGGTTCCTTTCCTTACATCATGGCCTGGAAAGTCAACAGGCAGTGAGGTGGGTCAATTGTAGGGCTCATCTCCTTTGTTTTCCATTTCTCAAGGATCTGTCCTTCATTGACTTATGTTCAATGTCTTGAGAACCATTGTTTCACATGTGTTGTCTGTGTTTTTTTGGTTATTATTGTTTCAGGTGGGAGGGTAGTCAGTTCCTGTTACTTCATCTTGGCTGAAAATGAAAGTTTGAAGCTTCAATTTAAAATTAGTTTCTTCCTTATATGATCTCCTAGGATATATTCTCTGATTTTCCCATTGGTACTAATCAATATCTTTCTTGGTAATACAAGTTATATATGCCATTATTTTCTTTTCTTAGTAGTCTGTGAGTTTGTGGAGAATAAGATATAAGTGTGAGTCACAATATGTACTTTACAAATATGAAAAATATAAATGCTTAATAAGCATCTACTTAGTGGATTAAACTATTAAAAATTAACCTTACTTGGCATAGATTTCTAGACTTGTAGGTCATGGAAATATCATGGTGTATGTTGATAGCTGCAAGGAGTTCCATGATGTTTCTTATGAGAACTTTTTTGTTAAGATATAGATATTGATTTCTTAGGGTAGTTAAGTGAATTTGCAGTGAGTTAAATAAATGTCAAAAAAAAAAGGAAAATGGATCAAATAAAAATAGGACATGTTCTTTAGACACGTAGCTCACCAGTGATTCAGTATATAATCAGTGGCTTAAAATTCAGAAGGCATGGCTTTACAGTATCTATATCTTTTAAGGACAGGGTATAGGAAGGGTCTTATCATGCATGTCATGAACATATATCTATTTTGGACATTCAGCATTCCTTTTCCCTTCCTAAAGATATCCAGATATCTTTCTCAGAAGTTGTATATATTGGGCTTCCCTGGTGGTGCAGTGGTTGAGAGTCTGCCTGCCGATGCAGGGTACACGGGTTCGTGACCCGGTCTGGGAAGATCCCACATGCCGCGGAGCGGCTGGGCCCGTGAGCCATGGCTGTTGAGCCTGCGCGTCCGGAGCCTGTGCTCTGCAACAGGAGAGGCCACAGCAGTGAGAGGCCCACGTACTGCAAAAAAAAAAAAAAAAAAAAAGAAGTTGTGTATAGTTTTGGTGAAATGGTCAATCCAGGTACTTGCTTACCATATGAACACCAAAGGAGCCATATTCTTTTCACCATCAGGTTGGAGACATTAAATGTAATCTAATATGGGGCCAGACTGAGGCAATTGCTCAGTTTGTTAGGAATTAAGATCTTTTGCTACAGTATCCACTAGACACATGTAACTATTTAAACTAAAATTAAATAAAATTAAAAATTTAGTTCCTCAGTTGTATACATCGAGTGCTCAATAGCCACCTATGGCTAGTGGCTACCATATTAGACAGTACAGCTCACTTCCTTCATCACAGAAAGTTCTATTGAACAGTGCAGTTCAAGGAACATAAATGTTAGGATAAGATTATTGAGTATATAATCTTTTCTCTTTTAGGGACATGGAAATTTTTATTTTAAAATATTGTATTTATAGTGCTTCTTGCTTTGACAAAACTGTAGGTATCTGTTATAAGATAAATAGACTTAACAGGCATTGTCTCATGACTGTGCTGAAATCCTTATTCCAGGTTGCACTGAAGTCGAAGATGTAGCTCTAGGCCCCAGTCCCCCATCCTGGGCCAGTGCTGCCTGTACCACCTACCTGGGACCCGCAAGGAGTGAGGGAGGGGGAGGAGGCAGTGATGGGCAGGGGAGGAGGGGCTGTTTCTTGCCTTCAGCTCTTTCCCAAGTTCAGGCTACTGCTCCACCCTGAGGGCATCTGCATTTAAGGCAGAACTTTCTCCCTGTCTTCCGGAGGCACTTGCATTCTTGTAGTTCCAAAGGCAAGCCTGGCCTCTTCCTTTGGCAGCAGGGTCTGTGCCAGGAGCCTCAGCTCAGTTTCCAGAGAATGACTATGTGCTCTCACCTGTCTGAGGCCCCAGACACCCTGGAGGAGGTCAGATTCATGTGTTCCAGCCTTGTCAGGGCTGGGTGCTTTTCATATTCTGGTGGGAGAGAACTGCTCTTTCCAGAAACATTTTTATGGTTTTTATCAAATGCAATAGACCATTTAATGATAACTAGTCTCTACATATATCTTAAAATGGTTTTGTACTTATGAATGGAGATTCCTGGTTTAAAAAAATAAAATTTTCATTTGATTTATATCACGTTAAAAAATAAGATTTCGTTTACTAAAAAAATTTGGGGAGAGGGAATTCCCTGGTGGTCCAGTGGTTAGGACTCTGAGCTTCCATTGCAGGGGGCGTGGGTTCAATACCTGGTTGAAGATCCTGCAAGCGGTGCAGTGCGGTGCGGTGCGGTGCGGCCAAAAAAAAAATTATTTTTTGAAGATTCCATAAGGTAGTATGTAAGGGATGACTATAAAGTTCTTCTATTCAAATGAGAGAATATATGCCCAACTGAGTATTGTCTTCCAAAGCATCCCTATGGATGGTTGTCTACTTACTCCTCAGCAGCTCCCAGAGGTGAGGGTGGGAGTCAAGGCAGACTGATGCCTCCTGTCAGTAAGGACTGATGTGGAGAGGAAGAGGTCTTGGATACACAGGAAATGCCAGGAAGGCCTCTGTGTATTTCCACAAGTGGTGGAGAGGGAACACAGACAATCCTTTACAGACTTCAGAAAAAATGGGCACCAAAGAGCTCCCAATTGTTGTTAGATAGGGAAGGGAAAATTAGTAATGAAGGAGTACAGTAACCCTTCAGCTGAGATGGTAACCAGCTGATTATGTAAAATGTTTGTCAGCCACGCATTTGGAAACTCCCTCTATTCTTGAAAAGCCCTAGAAATTTGCATTTAATGAAATTCACTTATACTTTCCCATTGACGCACAGTTTAGAACTATAATGTATACCTGTTTTAAAAAATTATGGTTGAAAGAGAAAATGTATTCATACTTCTGAAGAGAACATGACTTTTAATCCACATAACTAAAGACAAAAAGCACTTTTTAATTCCAGAATACCAAAACAAAAACAACAACAAAATCCTCAAGACTGTAGAGATACCTGTGTGTTCTTCCAGGTAATTTAAATTGACAATCAATTAACAGATTAGAGTTTAGTGCTAGGTAAACATTACATGTTCAAATCCCAAGCAGAGATTAATTTGCTCTCTTCTAGGGTCACACATTTCATGCTGAGCCCCAGCCTGCTGTTCTCCTACTATATGCTAATGTTTACATGGGTCTCAGTCACCTTAGTTGAAACACTGAAAGCTTAACCTTTTAGTGGATAGAAGCCTCAGCTAAGTAGAATATTAAGTAAAGTTATCATTCTACTACAAAACACTTTAATTGGGAAAGAATCATGTAAATAAGATAGACAATATTTTCCTACTTTGGGCTATAGATTAATTGATCAAAACTAAATTGGCTAAAATGTGAAAGAGCTGAAAATAAGTATTTCTGTCATTGGTTTTCCACACATCAGTAATTTTTGCATACATGGGTTGGCTCTCTTTGTCTATTAATCATAACTTTTTTTCCAAAATTTCTTTTTGTAATTTTTATAAAGCCTGGGCCCATGTCCTTTTTAGCATTTTTGTTTATTTTTCAGATTTTTTTTCTTGCTTGTGGGGCAATCTCTTAGTGAAATTCAAAGTTTTCTAGAGGATGTCCGCAGACGACCGGCACCTGGTCTCCAGCTGCGGCTCCTTCATCAAGACCGAGCCGTCTAGCCCGTCCTCGGGCATCGATGCCCTCAGCCACCACAGCCCCAGCGGCTCGTCCGACGCCAGCAGCGGCTTCGGCCTGGCCCTGGGCGCCCACGCCAACAGTCTGGACTTGCTGCCCATGTTCGTGGGCACCGGGCTGGGAGGCACCCCCTACCGCAAGGGCTACGAGGACTGTGCCGGCGGCATCATGGAGGACTCTGCCGGCGGCATCATGGAGGACTCTGCCGGCGGCATCATGGAGGACTCGGCCATCAAGTGCCAGTACATGCTCAACGCCATCCCCAAGAGCCTGTGCCTCGTGTGCGGGGACATCGCCTCCGGCTACCACTACAGCGTGGCCTCCTGTGAGGCCTGCGAGGCTTTCTTCAAGAGGACCATCCAAGTGAACATTGAGTACAGCTGCCCACCCACCAACGAGTGTGAGATCACGAAACGGAGGCGCAAGTCCTGCCAGGCCTGTCGCTTCATGAAATGCCTCAAAGTGGGGATAATGCTGAAGGAAGGTGTGCGCCTTGACCGAGTGCGTGGAGGCCGCCAGAAATACAAGCGCCGGCTGGACTCGGAGAGCAGCCCGTACCTGAGCTTACAGATTTCTCCTCCTGCTAAAAAGCCATTGACTAAAATCGCCTCCTACCTGCTGGTGGCTGAGCCGGACAAACTCTACGCCATGCCACCCCCTGGCATGCCAGAGGGTGACATCAAGGCTCTGACCACTCTCTGTGATCTGGCAGACAGGGAGCTCGTGGTCATTATTGGCTGGGCCAAGCACATCCCAGGCTTCTCCAACCTCTCTCTGGGGGACCAGATGAGTCTGCTGCAGAGTGCCTGGATGGAGATCCTCATCCTGGGCAGCGTGCACCACTCACTGCCCCATGACGACAAGCTGGTATATGCTGAGGACTATATCTCGGACGAGGAGCGCTCCCGCCTCGCAGTACTGCTGGAGCTCTACCGGGCCATCCTACAGCTGGTGCACAGCTACAAGAAGCTCAAGGTGAAGGAGGAGATTGTGACGCTCAAGGCCCTGGCCCTGGCCAACTCAGATTCCATGTACATCGAGGATCTGGAGGCGGTCCAGAAGCTACAGGACCTGCTGCATGAGGCGCTGCAGGACTACGAGCTGAGCCAGTGCCACGAGAAGCCATGGAGGATGAGCAAGTTGCTGCTGACGTTGCCCCTGCTTCGGCAGACAGCTGCCAAGGCCGTGCAGCACTTCTACGGCCTCAAACTGCAAGGCAAGGTGCCCATGCACAAACTCTTCCTGGAGATGCTGGAGGCCGAGGTCTGATGGCCTGGACCAAGGACCGACTCCCACCCAAGGACAGACAAACCGACGGGGAGACCTCCACAGCCACCAGCCTCAACATTCAAGTCCTGTATCATGGCCGCGAGCAGTCCCAGAGGAAGGGGCTCCTGCCCTCCTGACTGTGTGCAGAGCCCTGGGTGCTGTGGGGTAGGGAACGGGGATGGGAGGTCAGGGCGCGGGGCTCATCTGTAACTGGCTTTTTCTTTGGTATGTTTTTCCTCCGCCACGGGCAACGCTGAGGCCTGGGCCAGAGCTGACTCCCCTGAGGCTGGAGACCACTGAGGAAGTGCCCCCTCTCCCTGCCAAATCACCAAGAGGCAGCACTAACATAACACATTTCCTAACCCCATGCCCGACCCCCTGTCCTCTGTCCATGGCCTGCGTGGGCAGTGCTTAGCGCCCAGGACTCTGGCATACTCAAGTGGGGTACCTTCTGGAGGTTTCCCTCTCCCAGAGGGCAGTTACTTTCTTGCAGTGGTGCTGCCTACTCTGGGGTTCTGTGGGGCCCCTCAAGAGGCCCTACACCTTCCACAGTTCAGACGGCTCCCTCCCTCCATCCTTCCTCTAAGCTCCCAGGCCCGGCTCACCATCAGGAGAGTAGCGCCAGAACTCATGCGTTTTCCTGGTGACCCCCCCCCCCGGGGCCCCCCCCCCCCACCTGCCTGTCACCGCGGCCCCAGGGCCTGTCCTCCCCCCCTCTTCCCCAGGAGTCCAGCTGCTACTTCCTGCCCTACCTCAGAGCTCACTCTCACAGTGGGTTCAGCCAGCCAAGACTTCAGGGCCCGTGGGTGGGAATGGTGCTGGCTCAGAAAAGAGCAGGGTCCAGGCAACACTCCCCAGTGCTCCCCCTTCTTCTGGCTTCTCTCACTCCCCTGGGGCAGGTCCAGAGCAGGTAGGCCTTGGGAAGCAAGGGAGATGCAGGGGCCTGACCCCGTCTGAGGGCACCCTGGGCACTTGATCCTGGCAGCCCTGGGAGGACCGGGTCAGGATAGGGAGAGGCCCAAACCAATCTTTGCCGAGCACAGAAAGGCCCAGAAGCAGAGATGAGCAGGCGGGGGAACCCTGAAGACAGAGGCTCAGTGGAGGTCACCAGCCTGCCTGATCTTTCCTGGTATCCAGGGGCAGTGGACACCGAAGCCCCCTCCCCTGCATCCCAAGGGCTGGGTGAATCAGCGCCACAGGAGGGGTTGCTCCTGCCATCCTTGGCCTAAGGAGGTGTAGCGTAGCTCCCTGGGTGCACTTAGAAGACCAGCTTTCTGGCAGGACAACTACTCCGGCCCCCCCATCAGTCCTCCAGGCTGCTGTGTAAGGTGACAGCCACCCCAGTTCGCCCAGGACCGGTTCTGGCACTGGAAGTCCATTTCCCAGGAAACCCCTCAGTCCTGCCCAGATGGGGACAGTTGGTCACCCATTTCTGTGAGTGGCTATGAAAGTTTGTTCTCACCCACTTGTGGTAGGTCGGGGGCAGCCTTGAACATGCCATCCGGTGCTCACGGGGTTGGCTGAGGGCCGCTCAGAGGATCTCCCGAGGGTGAAAGGTTTTGAGCATTATGGAGAAGCTTCTTCCAATCAGCTGCCTTCTAAAGCAGGGATAAGAGCATCCCCCCTGGGGCACATCCCTGGGGAATCCACACACATTCTAACCCGACCTCTTGTCACATGGAGAGGCAGGCAGATCCCACCCACCCGTCGCTAGGACCAGGAGGCCAGGTGCCCTCCGCCACAGCCTCACAGCTTTCCAAGGGAAGCAGCTACTGCTGGTTCCACCTCTCCACCCCGAGACACCGCTCTTTTTAAACTTTTGCTGGGACGTGCTGAGGTCACCCCAGGCAGGAGGGTTGGCTAAATCCTAGCAGCTGCTCTCAGATACCTTCAAATAGAAAATGTCAGGGGTTCCAAGAGACTTCACAGACCAGCAAAGTGTGCCCCCTGCCCCTTTTGCCTGTGGGGATGGCCACAGTCACTTAGCATTGGGATGATCCGGGATGCTTCAGCCCTAGCTCTCTGTGCAGTCTCCAATCTGGGCAGACAGATGCACAGGTGCCTCTAAGGGACCAGGGGCAAAACCCAGGCCTAACTTAGCCACTGGGGGCCATGCCATGAAGTCTGGACTAGGGAGGTGGTACGGTGCGAGAACTTGGGGTCTGCTCTGCGGGAGCCTCCCCTAGCCCCTCACTGTGCTGTGTGCTCGAGGAGGTGGGGCAGAGAGTCGCACCTCATCACCCCATCCTCTGTAGCGTCACTGCTCAAGCATGAGGGCCCAAGCTGTGAGCTGTGGCAGGGGCTTGTGCACAACTGGCCTTTGCAATCCATCTTTTCTAGAAAAAGCAACTCTGGCTAACAGTGCAACAACTGGTTTGCTGTGGGTGGGGTGTTCTGTACACAGGGCAGCTTTGCCTCGCCAGATCACACACATCTGCAAGTGTCCCGGCATCAGAGCCCCTTTAAAGCAAAGAGGGGGCAGTGGTCCTGATGGCTTGATGCTAACGAGATGGATCCTGCTGCTGCTGCTGCTTTTACACTTAAAAAACGCCAATGGCAACAGGAAATGTATCAGTAATGATGAGAATTCTGTCCAATGGGAAAGGCCCTGATGTGCACTTGATGGATCCATTGGCATTCAGAGAAAAAGTTTAGGAGCCAACTTCTTAGTTGGAAGTCTAGCTAGCTTTGGGACCTCCCTGGGAAGAGGGGGGGGCGCTGACCTAGTGGAAGACAGTGGAGCAAGGAGAGTTTAGGACACTCCATCCCCCCAAACAGAGCAAAACTGAAGTTTACCCGCAAATCCGCTGTTCCCGGAAAATCTGTAAAGATGAAATAGCCCTGCTCAGTTGTACTCTCATGATACAGGTCATTGAAATGAACCAAGAAATAAAATGAAAAAAATCCAACCATGGGGAAAAAAAAAAAAAGTTTTCTCATACGCTCTAAGTGAAATGTCGAAAGATAAAGGTGGTTGCAAATAGGAAAGTCCCCACCCATTAGTTATCATATATTGTGAACCCAAGAAGATATTATAATTTTTATTAAATTTTAAATACAGATGTTTGCTTTTACCTTGATACTTAAAAAATTTAACTTCAACCAACCTCTGAATTTGAAGATTATATAAAATATTTGTCAGCCAAACATCTTGCCAGCCACTAACAATGTTACTCAAAACATACGAGAGTTTTTTTTAATGTAAACACATACTTAAACAGGGAAAGTAAGCATAAATGAATTTATGTTTTATACTTATGAAAATGAATTTTAAGGTTTCAAAAAGTAAGATAACTGATCCATGTTCTCAAGGATAAAGTTTATACAATTATAGGATGTGTAAGTAATAGTTACAAAAGCCAACATTTATTGAGCATTTGCTCTGTGGTAAGCACACAAATTGTATGATTTAATCCTTATAATGATCTGGAAGGTAGATACTATTAATATCCTCATTGTACAGATGATAGAAAGCAAGGTTTTAAAAGTTTAAGTAATTTATGCCAGGGCACAGAGGTAGGACTAGACAAATTTGGTAGTCTGACTCCAGAACCTTAGTCCTCTATACTGTCTTAAGGTGAAAATAAATTTATTCTCAGAACCCCAGACACTGGCACCAAAGAATCTAAAATGTTAAAAGCAAGCACATTTAAAAGAAATAAAAACAGTACATAGCAAAAGTAAATATGGAATGCAATGCTATAAATTAAATTACAATGAGTGATTAAAATTAATACTCCTAATCTTGTGAACCTACAGTGGATTATAGAAGGAAATTTGAATATTTGTGGTGTCAGTATTTAACGTGGCTTTAAATGGCTAAATAACATAATCCTGGCTTCATCTCTAATTTTGTGTATGAGTAAGTGGCTTAACTTGCCAAAGTCTGTTTTTTAAAAATTAAACATACTTATCAAAATACCAAGAGCATTTTACTTATGTGTATATCATACTGGCCTATATTTGAGGTGAAGTTATAAGAAATGGAAAAATTCAACTTGCCTTTTCGGGGACAGAGAGTATGGATGCTTCTTGGAACCTACATGGGTGCAGGCTCCATCTGCTCTGCACCTGCTGTTGGGGCCTGCTCCTCTACAGAGGTTTCTCCAGAAAAAAGAACAGACAGGAGGATCGGAGGTAAGTAAAAACACCACTTCCAAACTTCAAAGAGTTCTGAGTTTTTAAATGCTTCATTCTGTAAGACATTAATCTGTTTTAAAAACCATTTTATTGAAGCATAATACACTTATAGTATTAACCTCATTTAAAAAGCAATTACTGCTGAGCTCTGGGACAGAAGTCATGAAAGGATCTCCTTCCAGAAGATGCTACTACAGCAAGAAGGATTTAAATCATTTTCCTTAGGAGGGGTTGCACAGCCTCAGGAAAGCGAGAGTTAGGGAAGATAGGCATTCCACAGTTGGAACTAAATAGACAGGAGGCATTTCACATGCTGTAACAGATCTGTTTTTAAAGTCTCTTCGGTGATTATCTGACACTAAGGCTACTTGTATACTACATTATAGATTGTCAGTTCAGTGTCTGGGCCATGAAATCTGTTACTGGTGTGAAAATGAAAAAGGGGAGCCCGAGGCTCCTTCAGACAGTGAAACCACTCTGAGTGGGTTGAGTCAGATCTGCCTGTAGGGAACCCTGCTACCTAAAAGGGAGCTCCAGTGAGGGTCCCGGCTCACACCACCCTATTTCTCCCAGAAAAGCAGTAAACCCAGGGGGCAGTGGGGTCAATCTGCCACCTTTCCAACTTCCTCAGAATTACGACTCCACTCCTTGTGAACAACCAAGTCTGGAGAGTTATTTCCCAAGTTAATTAAAGACACTAACGCGATTAAGGTTGAGAGAGCAGGTGATCATTTCTCGAACTCGGTAACTACACTTGGGGACACAGCGCAGAGACTTATTCCTTTCTCCATTGGGGACAGTGGCTTCTGCTCCCTCCTCCCTCCCAGATGCACCCAACTTCCAGTTCCTGACCAGCCTGC